TAAGAAAGAAAGAAAGAAAGGCAATAAAGATTGTAAGGGGTCTGGAGGCAAAACTGTATAATGAACAATTAAGAGAACTAGGTTTAGCCTAATGAAGAGAAGGAATAAGGATAAACAGTTGTCTTCAGCACTTGAGGGCCTACCCAGAGAAGAGGGGGTTGACTTATTCCTAAAAGCACCTGAGGACAGGACAAGAAGCAATGGGTGCAAGCTGGTTAAAGAGTCCACTAGGACCTAAGGAGAAATTTACTGTAAGAATAATTAGCTTGCCTCCTGCAGTTGTGCATGCTCCATTGCTGGAGGTTTTCAAGAAAATATTGGGCAGCCATTTGCCTTGGGCAGGGTTCCAACATTCCTTCTAGCCCTATGATTCTATGATTCTATGAAAACTTTCCAGCATTTCTAAATAGCACAGATAGTGGTGAGCTGCACTGGTGGTTGTTATCAAGCAGCATCTGAAGACCTATATGTTCTCCAAATAACAACCCACTACCCATATTTGGAAAAGCTATTGTAATATTGAATTAGATTACTTCAAAGCCTTACAAAATATGCAATTAGCAATACATGTTTTAAGCCTAGGAAGTGACAATGTAACATTAAAAAAAATTCTCCAAATTGCAACTCATTGCATGGATTCAATATTAACTAAATCATAATGTGTTTGGGTTAGGTTGGATTGGTGAGAACCCAGACAGTTGTAATTTGTTCATTATTAAACCAGAGTTTAGCATACTGTGTGGACTTAGTTATGATTTTGTTTCTTTCCTCATTCCTTCTCTTAGACAACATTTCTTCTTCAGATATGACATTTTATAACGCAACTAAATCTTTGGCAAAAATGATAGACTCACAAGGAGATTGGATTCCAGTACCCAGCTTGATAGACCAGAACAATTTTAGGCCCTTTTGCCTGCTGCAAAAGAAAAGGAAGACATCGTGGTGGCAGAGCTGTCCTTTTCTCAAAACTGACTATCAGTTACATCATCTGCTGTTATCAGGAAATGACACTTCAAGTCTAGGTAATCTTCAAGAGTCTATCTCATTCATATATTTTTACTTATGGAATTATCTGTCTGTTACATTTTGCGAAAAGTATAAAATAATTGTAGAATACAACATTTTTATCACTAACTTTTGTATTACCTGTATGTATGTACTCAAAATGTATGAACAAAGTTTTCTGAGATTTTCAGAGGCAGAAAGATAAGAGAATGAATATTCAGTGATTGATGGTAAGCTTTCAGGACCCTTGATCTCATGTTTATGAAAACTGGAATAAATAGCAAAGTTGAAAAAATAGATTAACCAAAATCCATTTATACTGTCTGAAACAAGACTCAGGATGCATTTTTATAGCGTTTATGTCCTACTAAAGCTTTGTAAGGCTAAGGAGATGATGTCACAGGTGTTGTTGAGACTGGAAGTTTTGGACTCATTTTCCCACCCACTGAGGGGCATTTAAGGACCAAAACTGAGTGCCCGAGGGCTACTTTTTCCACATAGAAACATTTCTACCATATCAATTAAAGCTGATCAAAAGCACTCATCATCATCATCATCATCATCATCATCATTACTATTATTACAGTATACATAGCAGATGAGATAACCATGCTTTGTTTCGTATCACAAATCACTAGTCAAACACCTCTCAAGTGTTTAGGACTGCATGATGTATCAATGGATTATGCAGGCAGATCCCAGTAAGGTGGCCTTCTGCAGCTCACCAATGGTGATTTTGTCAGCGCCAATTGTTTTTAAGTGCTTGCCGAGGTCTTTAGGCACAGCACCCAGTGTGCCAAGTACCACTGGAACCACCTGCACTGGTTTATTTCAGAGTCTCTGCAGTTCGATTTTCAAGTCTTGATATCTGGTGATTTTTTCAAGTTGTTTCTCGTCGATTCTGCTGTCACCAGGTATGGCAATGTCAACGATCCACACTTTTTTCTTCTCCACAATCGTGATATCCGGGGTATTGTGTTCCAAAACTTTGTCAGTCTATATTCGGAAGTCCCACAGTAGTTTTGCATGCTCATTTTCGACCACTTTCTCAGGGTTATGATCCCACTTGAGAATTATTATTATTATTATTATTATTATTATTATTATTATTATTATTATTATTATTATTATTATTATTATTATTATTATTATTATTATACATAAAATGTCTACATAAACAGTGTGTTGTTTGGGTACAGTTCATTTTGAGAAATAATAATAATGATATAGCAATAATAATCACATCATCATCATCATCATCATCATCATAGCTTATCCATTTTAGTAAACCTTCCTTATATAATTAATCATTCTCTTATGCTTTTAAATATCTAACTTCTGTTTCTGTTAGTTAGCCATTGGTAAAACAAATCCAATGTTAAAAAACATTCAGTTTCTTCTTTCTCCTTAATTTTAAGTATTAATCTATCCATTTGTGCACTTTCATCTGTAGGGATCCCTTCATTTTTCCACTGTTGTGCAAACACAATTCTAGCCACTAGAATTTAACCCATGTAAAATTAAATATGTATTTCCTTTATTGTATTTTTCTGGTAAGATACCCAACAAAAATATTTCTGGTTTTAAATCTATATGTTGCTTTACCATTTTTTCTCACCATGTATGTATTTTTGTCCAACATTTTTTTGCCTTTGGGCACGTCCACCACATATGATAATATGAACCCAGTATCTGATTACATTTCCAACATTTAGCGGACATGTTATTAAACATCTTTGCCAATATTTTTGGTGGAAAGTACCATCTATAAAACACTTTATATAAATTTTCCTTATGTGCAGTTGACATTGTTAGTTTATAGTTCCTATCCCTCAATTTCTGCCATTTATCTAACTCTATAGTCCGGGGTGGGATTCAAATTTCTTAAAAACCAGTTCTGTTGAGAGCAGTTACAGCAGCACAGGCGACTCAGGAGTAAGGCTGCAAGGTAATGACCCCTCCCTCAAAAGGATAAAAGCCAGGTTTAAAGAAGCATTCTTTGCAGAAGGCAAAGATGCTCTGAAACTCAGCCTCGTGGACATTATAGCAAGTATTTGAAAACTCTTGTAAACTATTTCTTATCTGTGGGTTTTTGGCAGCCTTGGAGAACAACTTGACAAGGCTCTTTCTTGTTGGAGTTAATTAGTTGGAAGCAGCCTTTTATCTGTGAAGAAACAGAATTTGTGAATGAAACCTTAAAAGGTGGGGGCTGCTGCCTTTGTCTTGTGTTGGCTCTCTTGGAACCAGGTTGGGTCAGAACATTCATCAACCTTTTTTTCATATGCACCGTTTTCCTTTATAAGCATTTCAAATGATTTAATTGATCTTACCACAAGTTTTTCAGCCTTTATAATGTCTATGTTTCTCACTTGCAATGCATTAGAAAGAAGAGATATTTCAGTTAGGTCATCAATCATCAAGGCCAAATCAGTGAGAAAATAATATGTTTTCAAGATGGGCAGCCACATCGGAATATTTTTTATTTGAACAGAAAAACTGATGTAGCACTGGATAAGCACGCCGCACAGCTAGGGTTGACCTTAAACTATAGGGAGCCCATCTTGGTCCAAAAACTCCACCAATTTTTATAATTTCAATCTCAAGTTGTTCAGAAATTTTGTTAAGTTCAATTAAGTTCTTATTCGATTGATGGAAAATAGAATATATTTTATCAATAAAAATTTGAAAATGATTTATTTGCTTTATTTCCCTAATAGAATCATCTAAAACAAGTTGCAGATGATGGTTTAGGCAGTGCCATATTATAATGTTTGGAAACTCTTTGGCTATCCTAGTGGTTACCCCAGATTTTCTCCCAAGCATAACACTGGCACCATCAGAGCCAAATCTAATTAAATGTTTCTCCAGATAGTTCTTATTAAACTCAACTTTATTCAAACTTTTCATAAATGAACAACATATTGTCTCTGCATCTTGTTTATCCAATTCTACTAGGTCAAGGAAAATTGTTGGTGAGAAAACTGAATCCTCAACTTTTAAGTACAGTATGAGAACTGGTTTGGAAGATATCGTTGAGGCTGCTTCATCAATTATCAAACAATTTTGCGAGTTTTCTCAATAATTTTGCTAAATAAATGTTTCCTGATGTCTTTTGCAATGAAATCTACTATTGCAACTGCAGTTTTACGTGAATGCAACCCTGTTCCCAAATCTACACCATTTTTTATTTGCAGTTCAATCAAATCTTCTATATATGAAAATGGTCTGCATGTTTGTGCCAGATTATACAGTGTAGTAAACACTCTACATGTACTATCCAAATATTTCTCACTCATCTTCTCCAGTCCTTTGCTTATCACATCCTGCTCACATTGCTTCAACTTCTCTGTACAGATGTTGTGAGCCTTAGATGAGAAGTGTTCCTTCAATTTCTTTCTGAGAGAAGCTTGCTGAACTTCTTTACTCTTTCCTGCTGGTTCATTTTGGAAATTCTTCCATTCATTAGCTCTTTTTTCTTTGGTCAAAATTTCAAATCTTCTGCAATGCTTGCAACCTAATTATTTTCTGGGAAATTTCCAGTCCATCATATTTTCCCCTAAAGTTGTTGTACTGCTGCAGTGTCCAGCAGTCAGGAAGGTTCCTTTCAATGTCTGACTCAGTTTTTCCAGTACCTGATGATGTGCTGCTGCTGCTTTCCCCTGGTTGTAGTGTGGATTATGTGCTGGCACTGCTTTCCCCTGGTTGCAGTGTGGATTATATGCTGGCA